TATATATACATATATATACATACACACTGCTTGTACATGCTTGGGGGGACAGAATTCTGCTTTTAAACGAGTCACTGTAAATATGATTACTTAACTGCGGAATATACTGTATATTTAACTACATTCACGTCAAAACATATCAATACAACAAAAACGTTTAATTAAACCATTTAAAAGTAGAACAATAAAACATCATAATTTTGAGCTCTGATGTTCTGAGAGCCGCCTGTAGGTGTCAGTAAAACACCGCGCCTGTGAAATATGGCGAAGAATCACACACGACTGAATAAGACACTATATATTATTGGTAAGATAGAATCAGCTGAATCTTTGTATTGTATTTAAAGAGACTGAGCATGTTTTATTATAGTGTAGGAAATTTAGTGTAGAAAGAGGGATATTGAAAGACAAGGTAATTGAAATGGGAAGAGAGTGGAGTATTAAAGGGGTGTTGTGGATAGGGGATAAACAATTATAAATGCAGAAATATTTGGATAGGTATTTAAAAGTATCTGGACTAATAAATAGAATGTTTATTAAGCCATGATGTTACACACTCCGGTACAGCAGGTGGCGGCACGCACCTTTCACAATGGCCTCTAACCCACCAATAAAACTGAAGAGGAAGCAAAAAGGTGGTCACGTGATTCTGCGGACGCGTTGGCTTGACAACTGCTGTAATCCTTGCCTGGTGTGAAAGTGGGTTATCAATGTTTCAATTTTATACACATTGTTTTTGATTTAACGCGTTAACACACGACCGCCATATGATATCGCATTGTGTTGTTGAGCGGTAGTTGTCTAAAAGAAAGATAATTCCTTTAACTGGGCCTATGTAGCTAACCATTTTTTGTCGTTTAGCTTCCAGTTAGCTACTATAGATATAAAGTTATAGCTGTAATACACCTATGGTTAGCTATGCGCTGTTGTTACCTTGATTCGAGTATTGTAAGATAAGGGTCTGAGTTTTACTGCGAATCTTAAAAACGTAAACCAGCGACCCAGTCACACTGTGCCATTTAGGTTAAAGATAATAGTATATTCGGACATTAACTATTCAGCCAGCGTTATTGCTACATCAAAACCACCTTGTGTAAACTGAGACTGATTCGGGTTATTAAATGCTAAAAATCCCGAAATGTAACACTGTAAAAGCGACTGAAACGTGAGCGTTCAGCGCATTGCAACAGCTACATATCACCAAAACAGCAGCACGACACTGATGCTCAGTTTTTCTTTTAGGATGGTAGATTGTTTTGTGATGTTAAGGTTATTGATGCTTGTGTAATACTCGCTCTCGTTGAGTCAAATCAGCATTCATTACCACCTGATAAGCCATTCAGTTAGATTAGGTTACAGCAGCAGATATTTTGTTGATCCTAGTGTAAAAATCTGTGCATTGCATCGCCCTTAATACGTTGATTGCATGAAACTGTCAGACAAAATTATGCAAAAATTAATAACATGTTTACATTTCAGCAAGCACTCAGAAGATACAATGCCAGAAGTCAAGTCAATTTTAAGAGAAGTTCTGCCTAAACAAGGTTTGTACTAGCAGTTAGATATTTGGACAGCAGTAGTTACAAACAAGGGGTTGTTTGTGAAGCCCAGTACAACATGTGAATTGTTCATAAGTTTTCAAAAGCTTGCAAAATTAGTTAGTGGGTGCTTTGTGCGCCCTCTTCACAGTATCTTTTACAGCTCAACACCACTGACGTTTTTGCAGTATAAACAGTTATAATTTGGGTCTTATCCATCTTTTCATAGCCAGCTAAAAGTCTTTCAATTCTTGTACTTGGGATCTTCTCCCATTCTTCCTTGCAAAAGGCTTCTAGTTCTGTAATATTCTTTGGTCGTCTTGCATGCACAGCTCTTTTAAGATCTACCCACAAATTTTCAATGATGTTTAAATCAGGGGACTGTGATGGCCATTCCAAAACCTTCAGCCTGCGTCTCTTGAGGTATTCCATAGTGGATTTCGAGGTATGTTTAGGATCATTGTCCTGTTGTAGAAGCCATCCTCTTTTCAGCTTCAGCTTTTTTACAGATGGTGTGATGTTTGCTTCCAGAATTTGCTGGTATTTAGTGGAATCCATTCTTCCCTCCACCCGTGCAATGTTTCCTGTGCCACTGGCTGCAACACAACCCCAGAGCATGATAGATCCACCCCCATGCTTAATAGTTGGCAAGGTGTTCTTTTCATGAAATGCTGCTCCTTTTTTTCTCCAAACATGCCTTTGCTGATTGTGTCCAAAGAGTTCTATTTTAACTTCATCAGTCCACAGCACTTGTTTCCAAAACGCATCGGGCTTCTGTAGATGTCCTGTTGCATACTTCAGACGTTGGATTTTATGATGGGGACGCAGATAAGGTTTTCTTCTGCTGACTCTTCCATGAAGGCCTTGTCTGTGCAAGCATCGCTGCACAGTGGAACGGTGCACCACCACTCCTGAGTCTGCTAAATCTTCCTGCAGGTTTTTTGCAGTCAAATGGGGGTTTTGATTTGTCTTTCTGACCAGCATACGAGCAGTTCTGTCCGAGAGTTTTCTTGGTCTTCCAGATCTCATCTTGACCTCCACAGTTCCCCTGATCTGCCATCTCTTAATTACATTTCTTACTGTGGAAACTGCAAGCTGACAACGCTTTGCTATCTTCTTGTAGCCTTCTCCTGCATTGTGGGCATCAATAACTTTCACTTTCAGGGTCTTACACAGCTGCTTAGAGGAACCCATGGTTGCTGGGTGTCCACAAGTGTGTGCACAAGGTTTGAAGAGTCAAAGTATTTGTACAGCTTTGAAATTGGCATTTACCAATGACAGCTGTTGCTGTGCATCAGATCTAACGAGCTGATTAAGGTCTGATACCTTGTGAGAGACTTTGAGACTCTGGAACTCTTAGGGTGCCCAAACTTTTGCACCATGCCATAATCATGTTTTTATTTTTTATTTTTGTTCAATTTATGGCATAAGAAGTAACTATGCATCACTGTTTGCAGAAAATATTGTGCATTTTTTCCATTTCCAAGAGAAACTGTGTTAACATCTGTTCAAATAAAAAATCACCAAAATCTGTTATTTATCAAGGGGTGCCTAAACTTTTGCATAAGACTGTAAATGTCTTTCTACCCTTAAAAGAATAATGCCTTTTAATGTGTGTAAAATGTTCAAAGTTAGAGTACAAAATATGTAAAATGTCCAGATGTTTCATGCTGTGAAAACAGACCATCGGTGCAACAGAAAGGAAAATATTGGCAAAGGGTCAAAACCGAGAACTTACACATTTGCCAAATCTTCAAATGTAACATTGGGCCCCACTTTAAAATTCTGGGGCTTGTAGGTTTGGGAGTGATGTTCTAACATTGAGTACTTTTATATTTAAAAGTTTAATTGTAGATTTGATATTTTTAACTGCTAATGTGCTAGGTGTTTTTTGTGTGTGATCTTTGTATTTAATACCAAGAGTAGTTGAAAACAATGAGACTTCATGGGAGAGTTTAGTAAAGTTTTTGTTTTGTTAACACCAACAGGGCAGCTTTCCATGGAAGATGTCCCTACCATGGTTCTGTGTAAGCCAAAGCTGCTCCCACTCAAATCAGTCACTCTAGAGAAACTGGAGAAGATGCAAATTGAGGCTCAAGAGACTGTCAAAAAGCAAGAACTGGCTCTGAAGGAGCAGTCATAGCAGATGCCCAATGGAGGATTTTTAAAAACATAATCAAGCTGAAATGAATGGTACAAAAGCAGCGTTCTCAAGCACCAGTAGAGTGTGTTATTTGTACAGCAGTGAAATGTGCATACAACTACAAAGGCTTCATAAAGAAGAGCTAGGTGGTCAGAGTACTCACTTCAGTGTAACCACACTCACCTCTGCATCCTGTTCATTAGTCATCCTGAAATGATGCACTATGTCAGTAAGGATTGTTTTTTTTTTTTTTTTTTGTTTTACTTGCCAGTTTTTCCTCATGGTTGGCTCCTAAGACTGATACACTTCTGACTTTTTATTTGTATCACTGTAATTTGGCTATAATGCACAACACAAAATGTCAAACATCTTTCTTTTTGAATGAAAGCAGAGCAAGTAACCTGTCAGAACAAAGAATTAAATGGTAATGGTTTGTGCTATTATTGTGGTATTCACAAAAACAATATTGATTATTTAATAGTGATTTAATGAACAAATAAGGAGCAATATGTGGTACATTTTACACAACAGTACTCCCCAAATATAAAAATAAACACTCTAAACACTATTTTGTGAAGTTAACCGACTGGTATTTGCTTTTGCCCTGTACACATCTTGATACCTTCAGTAGACATCTTTGTGATATTTAAAGGGTAAAAAAAAAAAAAAAAAATCAAGCACAGCATTAAAAAAAAAAAAAAAAGCAGCTATTAGGGAGTCAGATCTTCACTGAAACAACATGCCTCCCTTTATTTTTATATTCGTTTATAAAGCCTTGTACAAACACTGCTTTCTAGAAGACAAAGAATGGCAGTGAAATCAAGAAAATACTGTACAAAACAACATGGAATGACTGACACCGAGGTGTGGCACTTCAAGAGTTAGCTTATGCAAATGTATATATTGAAAACACCTTGGAAAAAGTGATTTACTTCAGTTTCAAAAGTGCAGTTTTTTTTGCCCACCTCAACTTCAGAAAGGAACATTAAGGGGGAAGGAAAAAAAAGTACCAAACTATCTTCAAAAATAAGCAAATAAAAAAAATTTAGCTTTTATCCTCTTCAGAAAGTCTGGTACCAAAAGGGCTCCTCGGTAGCTTTCAAGTTTGACACCACCATCTCACTCACTGAAAAATCTCTTCCGGCCCCTGACAAGAGACAAATCACATTAACAAATATTATTATTAACAATAATAATAATAATAATAATAATAACAACAACAATAAT